GGCCATTTGATCACCGCGGAGCGCATAGACAGGGAGCGGATCTGCGGCCGGGCGGGGAAGTGTCTGCTGAGCTGTGAGCTCATAGTGGAGGATACAATGAAGCTGTACGGAGTGGAAGTGGAAATCACGGACATTAATGACAACGCCCCCAGCTTCCCGGCAGAAGAGTTACATTTAAAAATCAGTGAAACACCGGCCCCCGGATCGCGGTTTTCCGTGAGTCAGGCAGAGGACCCAGACCTGGGGCTAAATTCCATCCAGAGCTACCAGCTCAGCAGCGACGGGCATTTCTCACTGGACCTTCAGACGCGATCGGATGGAGTGAAATATGCGGAAGTGATTCTGGAAAAGTCCCTGGACCGGGAAGAACAAGCCGTTCACACGCTGATCCTCACGGCCACAGACGGGGGAGACCCGGTCAGATCCGGCACTGCGCAGATCCGCGTTACTGTCCTCGATGCTAATGACAACGCGCCGGTTTTCAGTCAGCCTGTCTACACGGTGAGTGTGTGGGAAAATGTGCCGGCAGGGTCCACGATCCTTACAGTAAAAGCCACCGACCTGGATGAAGGAGTCAACAAAGAGGTGACCTACTCGTTCCTCAAAATCGCGGACAAAACTCCCCAGATGTTCCATTTAGATGCTAAAACGGGTGAAATAACACTGGTGGGAAACCTGGACTTCGAGGAAGCCGCGTTGTATGAAATCCAGGTGCAAGCCCACGACGTAGGAGGCCTTTTCGACAAATCCAAAGTTGTGATCGTGGTTAGCGATGTGAATGACAACGCCCCGGAAATCGCTGTCAGGTCCCTCGTAAGCGCGATCCCCGAGGACGCTCCCCCCGGGACTGAATGGAGAGGTCACGTGCTCCATCGCAGCCAATCTGCCGTTCCGCTTGCAGAAGACATTGGACAATTACTACAGCTTGGTGACTGACAGAGCCCTGGACCGGGAGCGGGTCTCGGGTTACAATGTGACGGTCACAGCCACAGACCGCGGGACTCCCCCGTTATCCTCCACCACAAGCATCTCAGTGCAACTTTCGGACATAAACGACAACGCGCCCGTCTTCAGCCAGACATCCTACACTGTGTCCATCCCCGAGAACAACCCCAGCGGGGCCTCCGTGTGCTCCGTGAGGGCCACTGACCGCGACTGGGGGGAGAACGCCCGAGTGACTTACTCTCTGCTGGAGGGCGAGGGCCGCGAAGCTCCGCTCTCCTCCGCCGTGTCCATTAACTCGGAGACCGGGGCTGTGTACGCGCTGCGCTCCTTCGACTACGAGCAGCTGCGGGAGCTTCGGTTCCGGGTGCAGGCTCGGGACGGGGGGTCCCCGCCGCTCCGCAGCAATGTCTCCGTCAGGCTCTTGGTGCTGGACCAGAATGACAACAGCCCGCACATCCTGCACCCCGCCTCCCCCAGCGATGGCTCCACGGGAGTGGAGCTGGCCCCTCGCTCCTCCGAGCCGGGCTACCTGGTCACCAAGGTGGTGGCGGTGGATGCGGACTCCGGGCAGAACGCCTGGCTCTCCTACCAGCTGCTGAAGGCCACGGAGCCGGGGCTCTTCTCGGTCGGAGTCCACAGCGGCGAGGTGCGGACAGCGCGCTACTTTGTGGACAGGGACGGCCTGAAGCAGAGCCTGGTGGTGCTGGTGAAGGACAACGGGCAGCCCCCTCTCTCGGCCACCGTCACTGTCACGGTGGCGGTGGCTGACAGCATCCCCGAGCTCCTGTCGGACCTGAGCAGCCTCTCGGCTCCCGCGCAGCCGCAGTCCGGCCTCACCTTGTACCTGGTGATCGCGGTGGCGTCCGTGTCCTGCGTCTTCCTCACCTTCGTCATAGCGCTGGTGGCCCTGCGGCTCCGGCGGTGGCGCGAGTCGCAGCTGTTGGACTCCTCGAGTGGGACTTTCAGCGGAGTTCCCGTCTCGCACTTCGTGGGCATCGATGGGGTCAGAGCGTTTCTCCACTCCTACTCCCAGGAGGCGTCGCTCACCGCGGGCTCCGGGAAGAGCCAGTTCAACTTCCCCCAGTCAAACTATGCAAACACTCTGACCAGCGAGCAGACGTGTGAGGTAAAGGATCCTTTCCTAATGGCCGAGGAGTTAAACGTTAGTAACGCGGATCAGTCCTCAGTTCAGGTGAGCTAATATCTCCTTAAACTTGTGATTTGTGTTTATATGGGTAGGCAGCTGTTAATCTGTAGCTAATTGCTGATCTCATCGATATCCGTGTGTTAGAAAGTGGTGTGTGTGTGTAGGTGAGACAGAGAGATTGAGATTGCTTCTGGTTTATCCTGGATGTTTTTCATTTAGGCTACGCCAAGGGGGAAAGTTGATTTAAGACATGTTAATTACATAGCTCTGTGTGGGAGATTCCCGGGAGCTCCGGCTCCCATCAGCTTCCTTACTCCAGGAGAGGAGCAAGACTACCCGTGCCAATGAGAGTGCTCTCTCAATTCAAATTAGCAGCTGTTCTTTAGACTGGCGAATTCGACCCCCGGAATGTTGACAACCTAAGAACTAGGGGTCATGAATCAAAATTAATATCAGGTTTAAAACAAACAAAAGGAGGTTTTTCTTCACCCAGTGCAGAGTCAACCTGTGGAACTGCTTGGCACAGGATGTTGTGAAGACCAGGATTTTAACAGGGTTCAATAAAGAACTAGATAATTTATGGAGGTTAGGTCCATCAATGGCTATTAGTCAGGATGAGTAGAAAGGGTGTCTCTGGACTCTGTTTTTCAGTCAGAGCCTGGGAATGGGAGACAGGGGAGGGATCACTTGATTCCCTGTTCTATTCATTCCCTCTTGGGCACCTGACATTGGCCCCTGTTGGAAGACAGGACACTGGGCTGGATGGACTTTTGTTCTCACGCAGTCTAGGCGCTCGTATGTTCTTATGTTGACTGTGGCAGGGTCAATGTTCTCCATAGTTCAGACAAACCCTTAGAGCCTTGATAATGCAAACCAGACTCTAGCATGCAATTTGGAATTGCAGTTTTAGCCAATGTAATCCTCAGAGTATCCGGCTGACGTGCATAAATGTATTTTATTTAATAATATATTTGCATTGTGAACCCAGTTAGAGAACAGATTACCTAATTCCTTTTCCAGATATCATGAGTGATCTACTCAAAACTGGATTCTTCCTTTAATCTATGATTCTATATACGTTCCTGTACCTGAGATGAACGTATGTAAGTTTTCTTGAATTTCTGGAAACATGGATCACCATAGAGAACAAGCATGGTAGTGAAGGACAAAATGTTTCAGTGATATCACAGATCTCAATATTAAATTATATTATAAACTAGTGTATTTAACTCCAAATATCATTTCTTGATGTTTCTGTATTGCAAATAATAGATGCTCAAAATGTGTTGACATGAAACTGAACTAGGGGTGGGCAATAATTTGTGAAGGGGGGGATTTCACAAATTTGTGAAGTGATCCCATGTTTCCCAGAAGCAGCAGGACCTCAGCTGGAAGGAGCAAGACCAGGACACTCCTCATGCTGTCCCACTCACAGACAGGAGGTGGGGGAGCACATAAAGTATTTCCCCCCATCCATGACACCTAGAGAGAACCGCCAGATGTTTGAACAGCTGGCAGTTTGCTCTAGTTGCAGCTCAAGCCTTGTGGTAGGAAGAGACTTCATGCTCTCCCCTCCTCCCCCAGTGGTAGGAAGAGACTTCATGCTCTCCCCTCCTCCCCCAGGCCAATCGGGGCCTGGAGGTGGGGGAGAGTGTGAAGTCTTTGCCCTCTGTCCCCACTCTGAAGGGGCATTCCACACCTAGAGGGAAACACCATCTGTTTTAAACAGCTGGTAGTTTCATCTGGTGCCATGCACCCTTGGTGGGGGGAGGAGACTTTGTTCATGCTCCTATCCCCAGGTCTCCATTGGCATGGTGGTGGGGGTGTGGCAAGGCAGCCATGGGCCGGATCAGCCAGCTTAGCCCAGAGAGGCTGTCCTGCCCACACTTGAACTAAGCTATGTAAATGTTTGATTAAAAAGAAGAAACAATTTCAATGTTCTTTTCTTAAAGGTTTTTTCCCAGTAATGTTATTTTGCCTTATATTTGAGCCTTGAGAATTTGAGAGGAATTGATGAGGTGACACCAATGTGTTGTACTATATTGTGGTTAGCAGTAATGGTTAATTCTCCTGCTCTACAATCTAACTTTTGTTTTGTTAAAGTACTAGAAAATGTTTCCACAGCACATTTTTAAAACAGTCAAAGAGAGCAAGAAACAATCATTTGCACAAAAAGGAAGTGACTGCCTAGGAAGGAGTAGTGCAGAAAGGAATTTGGCTTGAGAATCACAGTGGATCACAAGCTAATTATCAATCAGCAGTGTAACATGCTGGTAAGAAAGGGAACAGCATTCTGAAGGTGTAAGTGGAAGTGCGACAAGAAATATACTAGAAGTAATTTTTACATTACTTTGTAGTGATTGGGCTTCAACTGGAATTTTGTGTCCAGTTCTGGAGGCCACATTTTTTTAAAAAAATGTACAAATTAAAGGAAGACCAGATAGGAGCAATAACATTTCTTGAACATGTAGAGGACACACCCTATGAGGGAAAGTTGTAATAAAAAAAAACCCCTGAGTTTCTCTAGTCTGGAGAAGAGAAAGCTGAGAAGGGACTTGATAAACATTTTCAATATATACAAGATTATTACTAGGAAGAGAGTGAATAATTGTTCCTCTTAACCTCCATAAGCCAGGGCCCTAAATTGCAACAAGTGAGGTTTAGGTTGGACATCAGGAAAAACTTCCTAACAGAGTGGTTAAGCACTGGGATAAATTGCTGAGGGAGGTTGTGGAATGTCTGTAACTGGAGAATTTTATGATCAGGTTAGACAAACATCTCTCAGGGATGGTCTAGAGCCTTCCTGTGGGGGACTGGACTGGAGGACCCCTGGCGCCCCTTCCTGTTCTATGTTCCTATGAAATGTATGAAAGGGTAACCTAAGAATATTTGTCTTTGTTTCTTAGAAACAAGATATGTGCTTTGAATCAGCAGATTTCCTAGAGGGAAAGATAACTTTAAAAGGAAAGTAAGAGCTAAAAGAGAAACATAGTTTTACTCAGTTGTTCAAAGTATTTTCAACCCGCTGTAGTTCGTGCTGTCCTTGGTTTAAACCTGATTCTGTGAAACGCTTTAGCATCCTTAGAATCTTTAAGGATATTTGGAATCTCTCCCCCGGCTGTGATCGTTCCATGGACGTTTCTGTCAACGACAGAACTCATTGTATGTGATAATTGGAGAGACAGAGAGAGACACATGCACACAAACACAAGAATGAGAATAGAACTACCCATACATGTATACACCGCTATAACTATCCATTTCCATTTGGGCTCACGCTGGGAAACGCAGCCCTGTCAGCTTCTCGCAGTGCTTTTCCTAGGCCGCATGTCTTGCGCTACGTGCACAATAGGAGGAGAACACAAAACAAAACCAGCAAACCCCCACGATTGTCGCTAAGCTGCGCCGGCGCCGTGCTGCGACCGCTGCTGCTGCAGTTCTGGGCTGATGCTCCGAGTGCCGCTGTTGGCCAATGCGGAGCCGGCGCTGCAGCCGGGATCCACTTGCGGCTCCTGCCTGCGCTTGCTCCGTCACACGGCGCCGGGCGGGGCGGGGAGAAAGCAGCGGAGGGACCTGCCCAAGGCGTCCGGCAAGAGGGAGCCGCCGCGGAGCGCTCTGCCCCGTAGCAAACCCCCGGCTCGGTTTGCGCTACGTGAGCGCGCCTCTCGGCACCGGGCGGGGGGCGCCGCATGAATGGGAACGGAGAAGGCAGCAAGGACGGGGCGAATCTGACAGCGACCGGGATGGAGACCAGGCGCCGGGCGGCCCCACGGCAAGTACTGCTCCTCGCCTGCTTCTTCCCTTTGCTCTGCCGCGCGGCCCCGGAGCAGACTCGCTACTCGATCCCCGAGGAAATGGCCAAAGGCTCCCTCGTGGGGAACCTCGCCCAGGATCTGGGGCTGGAGCTGAGGGAGCTGCCGCTGCGGAAGCTCCGTGTCAGTTCGGAACAGCAGCACTTCAGTGTGAATGGGGAGAACGGGGACTTGTCTGTGAATGGCCGCATAGACCGGGAGGAGATCTGCGGGGAGACTCCGCTTTGTGTGCTGACGCTGGAAACGGTGGTGGAAAACCCTCTGAACGTTTTCCATGTGACTGTAGCGATCCAGGACATTAATGATAACGCCCCGCGGTTCATCAAGAGTAGCGCTGACCTAGCAATCAATGAGTTAGCCCTGCCGGGTGCGCGATTTCCGCTACCGCGAGCGCGAGACACAGATACGGGGGTGAATTCGGTGCAGATCTACCGGCTCAGCGGGGACCCGCATTTCTCCCTGTCTGTGAAGGAGAGCCCGGATGGAAACAAATACCCAGAGTTAGTGCTGGAAAAGGCTTTGGATCGGGAAACGCAGCAGTCCCATCGGTTGGTCCTGACGGCCGTGGATGGGGGGGAGCCGGTCAGAACCGGGACGGCTCAGATTAGGGTCAATGTCACTGACGCCAATGACAATGCCCCCGAATTTTCCGAGGAGATTTACAGAGTGAGCGTGAGGGAGAACGTGCCGAAGGGCTCCCTGGTGCTTGAGGTGAAAGCCACGGACAAGGATGAAGGGCTAAATGCCCAGATCACGTACTCCTTCGGCAACACTCCGGAAAACGCTCGTGCGGCGTTTCATTTAGACCCTGAGAACGGAAGAATCACAGCGGCAGAGAATTTAGATTTTGAAGACGCAAAGACCCACGTGCTGGAAGTAGAAGCCAGCGATTCGGGTGGACAAATTGCTCACTGCAAAATTCAAATAGACATTCTTGATGAGAACGACAACGCCCCCGAATTGACTTTTACCTCCGTGTCCAGCCAAATACCGGAAAACTCAGAGCCCGGGACCGTGATCGCGCTGATCAAAGCCCACGACAGAGATACCAGGGAGAACGGAGACGTCGCGTGTTTCATCCAACAGAGTCTGCCATTCACTATAGTGTCCTCCTCCCTCAACTACTATAAAATAATCACGGAATCTTCTCTGGACAGGGAGCGGGCCCCGGAGTACAACATCACAATCACGGCCACAGACAAGGGCTCCCCCCCGCTCTCCACCCAGAAAACCATCCTCTTGCAGATCTCGGATGTCAATGACAACGCCCCTGTCTTCGAGAAACCTTCCTACAGCGCCTACGTGCCCGAGAACAACCCCTCGGGGGCCTCCATTTTGAGCGTCAAAGCCTCAGACCGGGATCTGGACGGCAACGCCCGGGTCACTTACTCCATCCTGCGCAGCAGCATCCAGGAGCTCCCTGTCTCCTCCTACGTGTCCATCAACTCCCAGACTGGAGCGCTGTACGCGCAGCGCTCCTTCGACTACGAGCAGTTCCGGGCGTTCGAGCTGCAAGTGAAGGCCCAAGACGGCGGGTCGCCGCCTCTCAGCAGCAACGTCACCGTCAGCGTGTTTATCCTGGATCGGAACGACAACGCCCCTCGCATCCTGTATCCCTCGCTCGGGCCCGAGGGCTCGGCCGTGTTCGAGATGGTCCCTCGCTCTGCCGAGGCGGGTTATCTGGTGACGAAGGTGGTGGCGGTGGATGCGGACTCGGGACACAACGCCTGGCTCTCCTACCATGTGCTGCAGGCCACGCAGCCGGCGCTCTTCCGGCTGGGGCTGCACAGCGGGGAGATCCGGACCGCGCGCGCCTTTGCGGACAGAGATGCGGTGAAGCACCGGCTGGTCGCCCTGGTGAAGGACAACGGGCAGCCGCCTCTCTCCGCCACCGTGACTCTGAGCCTGGTGTTCGCCGAGAACTTCCAAGAGGCTCTTCCGGAAATGAGCGACCGGTCGGCTGAGTCGGCGCCGCAGTCTGATTTGCAGTTCTACTTGGTGTTGGCCTTGGCCTTGGTCTCGTTTCTCTTCCTCCTGACGGTGACACTGGCCATTGCGATGAGATTGCGGCGGTCAGGAAATCCCCAGTTACTTCAGTGTTTTGGTCCTGAGCCTTATTCCAAGACGGGCTCCATGTTCCCACCAAGCTATGAAGATGGGACTTTGCCTTATTCCTACCAGCTGTGTTTGTCCTCGGATGCCGGGAAGAAGGAATTTACTTTCCTGAAATCCAGCGTGCCGAGGGGCGGGAATATTCTGTGCGGTGACAGCTCTGGGAAGGTGTTTGCGGGCGATGGATCTGACAGTTTACATGATGAGATGGAGACCGTTGGGGAGGTGAGTTTCTATGTTCATGTTTTGTGATGTAGTTATGAAGAATAGGCTGCCCTATTTTAGTGCTGTCTTATGGCATATTTACACAACAACATAATTTTGCAATAACTAGCTATTATTTTGAAGTAACAGCCTGCTGCATAGACGTATTATTTTAAAAATAATGTTGAAATATTGTCTAGCTGGAGGTATGTCTACACTGCATGCTTATTTTGAAAGAAACTATTCCAGAATAGTTGGATATATCTAGACTATAAGCTTCTTTCAAAAGAGAGCCTCTTGACAGCAACCAGTATTATTGAAAAAGAGAGCTGGTTTTTCGAAAGAGAGCACCCAGGCAGTCTGGATGCTCTCTTTCAAAAAAGCTCTGTTTGCATTCAATAATGCCTTTTTTTGAAAGAGGATTTTCGAAAAAAGGCATTATTCCTCCTAAAATGAGATTCTCAATTATCAAAAAAACTGCTGCATTCTTTTGATTTCATTTTGAAAGACCACAGCAGCAGTCTAGATGCAGGTGAAGTTTTTTCGAAAAAAGGCCATTTTAAAAAAAATCCTTGTAGTCTAGACACACTCGTTATTTTGAAAGAACTTATTTCCCAATAGCAGGGAATCCTCAAAATTAGTCTAAGGCAGTCTTCCATAGTGTAGATGTGCAATCTCAATTTATAGCCTCAGGAAGCACTTGGGAAGAATAATTTAAAATGGCCCTAATGAGAGGCTATTTCAAAATAGCAGCAGTGCAGCGTCTACCCACACCTTATTTTGAAATATCTATTTCAGAATAAAGGCTCATCTAGACTACGCCGAAGTGCCGAAAGCAGATATAAAAATTCTGTGAAAATGTACATATCTTCTGATCTCACTAATTTGGACATGTCTTTTTCAGTGAACTTCCCCCCCTTGTTGAAAAGCTACGTAAACCTCATTTTTTGAGAAAAAGCGGATTTTCAAAAAAGGGGGGGATTCGCCAAAAAAGCCCAGTCCAAACTACTTTCACAGAATTTGCATATCCTCTTTTGGCACTTCGGCATAGTCTAGATGACCCCTAAGTGTTATTCCTCATAGAATGAGGTTTATAGATTTTGGAATAAGCTGTCCCTTATTTTGAAAGTTGAAGGGAGAGCGGTCTCTGATGTCCTGCAGTGTGGACAGCACCAAAAGTCAAGTTAAGGTACTTAAACTTAAACTGCACAATTAACATGGCTCTTGTGATGTAGTGGGGGGTACCTTGCTGGTTGCTATGCTGGGCAGTGGGCTGCAGGTGACCTCCACTGTCTGCTGTCTGTAACACGGCCCAGGGCAGGGGATGAGTCATTATGCAAGGGGGCTCCGCACCTGTCCGACCAGTTATCTACCAGGGAGTGGAACAATGGGAAGAAAGCAGAGTGGAGCCCTGGCTGGGAGGCAGGGCTGGAAGAGAGTGGTAGTTTCAGTCTGGGAAGCAGGGGGGAGGAGGGCTGGGATTGTAGGGCCCAGCCACCCCCATCTTAAGGGGGGGCACTGAGGCCTCCTAGCCCCAGTTCCTGTAACCAGATTACATCTGTGCTGTGCTGTATCATGGAGAACCAATAACCTCCCTCTATTCTACTGGCTGGTGGAGTCTGTTCGTGCCACTACGGGGGGTGCAGGAGGCGGGGAAACCCCATCGCACCGTCACAGCTGTCCATTTCCTTATCTGCAAATCCCTGTGCCCTTTTTAAAACACTGCCCCTCTGGCATTTGAAAGGGTTTAAAGTAAATGAGTGCATTCTCCAGTGATGTTATGAACTATTCACCAATAAGATGTGCTTCTGCTAACGACAGAGAAAACAGGACACCTATTATTTGCTGTATGTTATTATGCTTTAATACTCTTTATAGTGCATCTTTTGAACTCCGTTATTTGTTAAAAATGCCAAAAGTCAAAGTGGTTTTAATCACAAATATAGAAAATTAACTTATTGGTTAAACAATATCTTGCTGCTTTCATGTGACTTTTATAACATGATATTGGGATTTGGAGTCATATAAAGTTTTAGAAGACTTTGTTATTCATCTATGGGAGACTAGTGAAGAAATTTTGCAGGCCAGATTAAATAAGGGATGATAAAATCTTAACATATTATCATAATGTATTCTGGTTATGGCTCATCATTTACATGGTGGAAGGTGTTTCACAAATATCTTAGTGTTTAAATATTATAGGGCTATTTTTCTATCTTATCCTGCACTTGTCAGGCCAAGTTCTCTTAGCAACTATGAATTCAAATATTCAGGGGACCATTGTGATTGATAAATAGTCATTAAATATTATTTTAAACCTTTTTATACATACAGCTGGGATGTGTGTGTGGGAGGGCGGGCCTTTCTGCACTTTCCAGGGCTAGGAGCAAGTGCTGGGTCCAATGGGAATGTTAAACTCCTCCTGTGAAATAGAGTAGATCTCTTTATAATCATTCAAGCTCTAGACTTATGGCATCCAACCAGTTCTGAAGCAGTAGCTGCTTTAGTTGAGTGTGGCTAGTTTGCGATCGCAAAAGCCACTATAAGGTATGTCTATATTACAGAGATGATGGAAGCAACCAGTGTTGATCTTCCAGGATTTGAATTAGTGGGTCTAGTGAAGACAGGCCTTTTGATCTGAGAGGGGCACTCAGGTCAATGCCGGTAGTCCTGCTTCCATAAGGAGTAAGAGAAGTCGAAGGGAGAGTATTTGCCCTTTGACTTCCTGCAGTGTGAAAAGTGCCAAAAGTTGAGTTGAAGTATTTCAACTTCAAGTAGGCAATTAATGTAGTTGAAGTTGAGTATCTTAATTCATCCTTATCCTGTGGCGTAGACATACCCATAAGGGCTACTGCTATAGCGAACTAGCCACACTCAACCAGCCAAATAGCCACATTGTTCAAGCCAACTAGCTACGCCTGTATAGCCACATGTGGCTAGTGGCTAGCATGTTGGATACCAGGGCTCTAGAGTTATGCATCCAAGTGCCCTGGATATGACTGGATATTAGCTACCAGGAAGGCAATTCAAATATTTCAAGGTAAGGGAAGCACATAGTCCCTAACTTCCCCAGAAAGTTTATAGGTCAAAAATTCAGGTTGTTTGAAGCGTCTTAGTGGAGTGCAGCAGTGGCCAGAGTGCAGCGAAATGGTCAGATATGCCTGTGGAATTACTCAATCATGTGATTTGATTAATCCTAGAGCTCTGTTGATTATCACACTGATATCCGCTCCCCACCACATATCTGGCATGTCTGCATATGTGTCTGTCGCCTGTGTACATACTTGGACTCGTGTACTCTTTCATATTTTCAGTTTATGTACTTTCCGCTTGTGACAGCATTTCCCAGAAAGCTGACAGCTTCTTACTGTACTGGATACTATAAAACGGAATGGCAAGTTATATTTGTGACGTAGTGGGGGTACCTGGCTGGTTTCTATGCTGCTGGCTCTGGGGGAACCCCCACTGGCTGCCGTGGGTACCACGACCCAGCAAAACAGGATGAGTCACTATGCAAACCAGTGGCCAGACACCCCCCATGGAGAGGAACAAAGGAAGGTGGATGCTGCCTTGGCTGGGGGGCAGGGCTGGAAGTTAGTGAGTTGGTTGGTGGCTGTCTGTGAGGATGGAGGAGACAGCCTAGGGAGAGGAGCTGGAGTTTAGGGGCCCAGCCTCCCCCATCTCAAGGGGGCCTGAGGCATCCTAGCCCAGTTCCTGTAACCAGATTACATCTGTGCTGCGCTGTGCTGGAGGAGCAATAAACCACCCTCAATTCCACTGGCTGGTGCAGTCTGTTTGTGCCATTTCGGGGTGCAGGAGACGGGGAACCCCCAACGCGCCGTCACAATATTATTCAAGTTTTGTATCAGCATTTTGACAGACCCCACCCATAGATAGAAATAAAGGAGTGATGTGTCATCGGTTGCGCTGATAACGACTATAGTAAGTGAATGACAACATTTGATTGCCTCAAAATACCTGACTGTGAGCGAAGTATCATTGGATGCGAGAGATGTACAAGTGAGGGATAAGGTCGCTAAACACGGGTATCAGTGCGGTACAGCTGCACAGGTAGCGAAATTCTCGCAACCTACACTGACAGATGCAAGAGTCACATGGAAAGGGAGAGCAATAGCTTTGGCAAAACGGATTAATGCGTGATTCATAGCAAACGAATTACAATTGCAAATGTGTCCCCGTAACTCTTCCCAGACACAGTCCGATTGGCCACTGAGAACAATGGGGTCGGTCGTCCAGGGGGATATCGGACTCCCTAATCCCCACAGAGCAGAACGCTGCGTATTTAGACAGACGCTGTCAAATAGCAAAGCCAGGGCGAGCCCAGCCGCGCGGGGCTGCAGTTATTGGCTGAGGCGCTGAGCGCCGCTGTTCACCAATCAGAGAGGGAGACGCGCCGAGCGATCCACCCCGCCCCTCTCCGCCCGCAGCCACAGGGACCCGAGTTCAGACAGTGTCAGTGCGCGGAGATCAGACCGATGGGCGACGCTGGCTGACACAGGCTTCGGACTTCACTCCCCGTCTTTCCGAAAGTGGGTCCAAGGACAAAATCCAACCCGGGAGGTTCCCTCGCGGGATCTCGGCGGCGTCACAGCAGCAGCAAAGCTATGGCGGGTGAACGCAGGCTCCGGCACCGGATGGCGCGAGTCCTTCTCTGCTGTGCCTTGCTCTCCGTTTCGGAAGCGCTATCCGGGCAGACTCGGTATTTCATCCCGGAGGAAATGGAGAAAGGCTCGACCTGGGGCTGCACGCGGAGCAGCCCTCGGAGCGCGGAGTCCGAATCGTTTCCGGAGGTAGGACGCAGTACTTTGCTCTCAATGCGGAGAGCGGCCATTTGATCACCGCGGAGCGCATAGACAGGGAGCGGATCTGCGGCCGGGCGGGGAAGTGTCTGCTGAGCTGTGAGCTCATAGTGGAGGATACAATGAAGCTGTACGGAGTGGAAGTGGAAATCACGGACATTAATGACAACGCCCCCAGCTTCCCGGCAGAAGAGTTACATTTAAAAATCAGTGAAACAGCGGCCCCCGGATCGCGGTTTTCCGTGCGTCAGGCAGAGGACCCAGACGTGGGATTAAATTCCATCCAGAGCTACCAGCTCAGCAGCGACGGGCATTTCTCACTGGACCTTCAGACGGGACCGGATGGAGTGAAACACGCGGAACTCGTCCTGGAAAAGTCCCTGGACCGGGAAGAACAAGCCGTTCACACGCTGATCCTCACGGCCACTGATGGGGGAGACCCGGTCAGATCCGGCACTGCGCAGATCCGCGTTACTGTCCTCGATGCTAATGACAACGCGCCGGTTTTCAGTCAGCCTGTCTACACGGTGAGTGTGTGGGAAAATGTGCCGGCAGGGTCCACGGTTCTCACAGTAAAGGCCACCGACCTGGATGAAGGAGTCAACAAAGAGGTGACCTACTCGTTCCTCAAAATCACAGACAAAGCTGCTCAAACATTCCACATGGACTCTGGGACGGGGGAAGTGACACTGGTGGGGAACTTGGACTTCGAGGAATCCGCGTTGTATGAAATCGAGGTGCAAGCGCAAGACGGGGGAGGCCGATTTGACAAATCCAAAGTTGTGATCGAGGTTAGCGATGTGAATGACAACGCCCCGGAAATCGCTGTCAGGTCCCTCATAAGCGCGATCCTCGAGGACGCTCCCCCCGGGACTGTGGTCGCCCTTCTAAACGTCCAGGATCCGGATTCGGGCGAGAACGGGGAGGTCACGTGCTCCATACCCAGCAGCCTCCCCTTCCAGCTGAGGCGGTCTCTGGACAAGTACTACAGCCTGGTGGAATGGAGAGGTCACGTGCTCCATCGCAGCCAATCTGCCGTTCCGCTTGCAGAAGACATTGGACAATTACTACAGCTTGGTGACTGACAGAGCCCTGGACCGGGAGCGGGTCTCGGGTTACAATGTGACGGTCACAGCCACAGACCGCGGGACTCCCCCGTTATCCTCCACCACAAGCATCTCAGTGCAACTTTCGGACATAAACGACAACGCGCCCGTCTTCAGCCAGACATCCTACACTGTGTCCATCCCCGAGAACAACCCCAGCGGGGCCTCCGTGTGCTCCGTGAGGGCCACTGACCGCGACTGGGGGGAGAACGCCCGAGTGACTTACTCTCTGCTGGAGGGCGAGGGCCGCGAAGCTCCGCTCTCCTCCGCCGTGTCCATTAACTCGGAGACCGGGGCTGTGTACGCGCTGCGCTCCTTCGACTACGAGCAGCTGCGGGAGCTTCGGTTCCGGGTGCAGGCTCGGGACGGGGGGTCCCCGCCGCTCCGCAGCAATGTCTCCGTCAGGCTCTTGGTGCTGGACCAGAATGACAACAGCCCGCACATCCTGCACCCCGCCTCCCCCAGCGATGGCTCCACGGGAGTGGAGCTGGCCCCTCGCTCCTCCGAGCCGGGCTACCTGGTCACCAAGGTGGTGGCGGTGGATGCGGACTCCGGGCAGAACGCCTGGCTCTCCTACCAGCTGCTGAAGGCCACGGAGCCGGGGCTCTTCTCGGTCGGAGTCCACAGCGGCGAGGTGCGGACAGCGCGCTACTTTGTGGACAGGGACGGCCTGAAGCAGAGCCTGGTGGTGCTGGTGAAGGACAACGGGCAGCCCCCTCTCTCGGCCACCGTCACTGTCACGGTGGCGGTGGCTGACAGCATCCCCGAGCTCCTGTCGGACCTGAGCAGCCTCTCGGCTCCCGCGCAGCCGCAGTCCGGCCTCACCTTGTACCTGGTGATCGCGGTGGCGTCCGTGTCCTGCGTCTTCCTCACCTTCGTCATAGCGCTGGTGGCCCTGCGGCTCCGGCGGTGGCGCGAGTCGCAGCTGTTGGACTCCTCGAGTGGGACTTTCGGCGGAGTTCCCGTCTCGCACTTCGTGGGCATCGATGGGGTCAGAGCGTTTCTCCACTCCTACTCCCAGGAGGCGTCGCTCAGCGCGGGCTCCGGGAAGAGCCAGTTCAACTTCCCCCAGTCAAACTATGCAAACACTCTGACCAGCGAGCAGACGTGTGAGGTAAAGGATCCTTTCCTAATGGCCGAGGAGTTAAACGTTAGTAACGCGGATCAGTCCTCCATTCAGGTGAGCTAATCTTTGTATTGCCTTTTGTCTGCAGGAGCTATGACTCTTTGTGAATCTGTTACAGTTGTCAGGATATATTTGTGGAGTCAGTAAGGGCACCTGTGTTGCCTTAGGAATTGGATTAGGTGATATTGTAACCGGTGGAATATTGGTCAGTACACAAAAATAAAATGGTGTGTGTGTATTTCTGTCTGGACCAATGTTTGTGTCGAAATAAGCTTCCCAATTTCGTTTTAATAACGAGTGATACCAAACCTGGCGCTGCCTTTATCTAGGTTGGGTGAAGTTAACCTAGAATTGTGTTTACGCTAATCTGTAGTTGCTATAGGGGTGTTGCAAGATTTTATTTTTTCTTTACGTAGTGGGATAGATTTTTGAGCACACGGGTTTATTATAATCGATTTTACCTGCCCGGAGATGCTTGAAATGTGAGACATCTGAGGGTATGTCAGGGAACCTTTTCCTGAGTTCTTCAGGGCACTTCTGTAGGAGAAGTTTGTCCAGTGCTCAGTGCAATTCTTTTCCTTATTGATGTAGAAACATTTTCTGGGCGTGGATAAGTTTGAAAGGAGAAGATAAAACGTACAAGAAGGCTGTAAAGGTGAGTAAGGACATTGGTTCTCTTAGAAGTTTCCCTTGAAGTTTATGGCCTATGGCGGCTCATTTCACTCTATTAAAAATATTGTCTCGTGTGCAACGCTCGGTACATATGACATGAATTCCTATAAAGATTGGGACGCTCCTGTCATTATTCATGGACATAGCTGTGTAGAAAGACATGCTTAAAGAAAAAGGGCCGCCGCATGCGCGCACACGGCAGAGATCTGCGCCCTGGCACGCCCCTCGCCCGGAGAGATGCCGCGCACATGTCACTAGCATTCAGGGATGAGGCGTTTCCATCTTTTCTCCGGGTCGCTTACTTGCAATCGCGGACAGTCACTTTCAATCGCTGCAGGACTCCAATGAGCGGAAGAGGAAACCGCCCACAGAAGTCCCTGGAGCTGCGCCGGCGCCGTGCTGCAAAAGCAGCTGCTGCAATTCTGGGCTGATGCTCCGAGTGCCGCTGTCTGCCAATGCGGAGCTGG